GGGGGGGTGGGAGGAGATGACAATCTTTAATGTCACATCATGTCTCGTCAGGGAACCACATAAAGCTGTTAACATCCAGTTTTCTGATCTATTAAATGACCCGTGAGAGGGATACCTCCAATAGGAACTTTATTATGATCCATGCATTTCTTTTTAAAAGACTTGAAGATGCTATGAATGCTACTACCTTAAAATCACATTTCCACGCCACTTCTGTTAAGGGTAAATCACTCCCACTTTTTGATAAGAAAACAGGTAAACAGTTTAGCTAAGGTACACAAAAAAGATCTTACACCAGGGCAGTTAATAGATGTGCCTACTTTCCTAACTCTCTCAACCTAAGAACTTCTAGAATGAGATACTGAATTTACATCACCGATTTAATGGTTAAAAATTACATTACCACGGGAAAAGGAGTGGCTACAAAAATAAATTATTCCATTACTGTTAGGAGACTGGGCCTCAACAAGCCGGAAAAGTATAGGAAAAGAGTACAGCATCTATAGTGTGGACTGGTAGTCCCACAGTGTCCTACCACTTAATAGCTGGGTGCCCCAAATAAGTTACTCTCCTCAAAGCGGTTCCTAACACTTCAAACTTCCTTGTCTACCAGATGGTAAGGATGCAACCGTATCTCTCTTCTCCCATCCCACCCGTCTCTGTCTCTCCTCCCTCCCCCATCAACGTGAAGTCTAACGATTTCTTCCATTACACTATAATTTGGCATACTTTCTAATCAAGAAAAACTTCACAAATGAACTTTTATGCAAAAACTCACTGGTCAAATTAAGAGCCAGAACAACTACATAATAAATGTTTTAGACTAAAAAGGAAAAGGGCACGGGAAATACGGCTAGGATTAGAGATTTCTTTAAGAGCCAGGCCAAACCTACTCATGACTAAAATAGTTGATTACCTTAATTACCTTCGCTGCACAACAAGTGCTGGTGGTCATGAAATCCCAGAATATTAAAAACTCAGCCACATTTTCATTAGAGCATTCTCTACTGTGTTGAAGTCAAGACAGCAAAAGACTGCCAACAGCATTTTCACTTTAATTTTCTGGTAAGACAAAAAGAAAAGTTAATCTTGGAGCCAAATTCTCCATTTTTAGGTATGGTAAATTCTTCGAGGAAAAAATATCTGTGTTATGAGAAACTGAAAACATTTCTGTATATCTTAGAAAATATGCATATGTGCTTTTATCTTAAAAGGTATTAAAAAAAAAAAAACCTCAGGCTAATAATTTTTTTTTTTAAGTAGGCTCTCCGCCCAAGGTGGTGCTTGCACTCATGACCCCAGATCAAGAGTCCCATGCTCCACCGCCTGAGGCAGCTAGGCACCCCTGAAGTTTATAATCTTAAATGTTTACCTATTACTACCTTTCAAGCAACTCTGAAAGAGGAAAAGTGAAATAAAAGCTGAAGCCCTGGGGCGCCTGGGTGGCTCAGTCGTTAAGCGTCTGCCTTCGGCTCAGGTCATGATCCCAGGGTCCTGGGATCGAGTCCCACATCGGGCT